CCCTTCTCTTCTGCGACTGGCCGCTAGGGTCCTGCTAATAAAATCTCGGACAGGTAAACAGTTGTTTTTGCTTGTTGAGTTTACGGAGCTTTTCCATCATCCTTTACATTGATGCCAAAACCCGGGACGGGGTTCCCCGTCATTCCCAAACTCCGAGTTCAACTGTTCCTGTCGTAGTCCACTCCTCTGATTGCCTGCCTGACATCCACCACCGGCCTGCAGATTGGTGAGTTCCCTCATCTGATGAGCGCCTGAACCGTAACTCACCAGAACAAAGGAATTGGCCGTTGAGTGTCCGGCAATCCCTCTGGGTGTTTTAGGAGAGGAATGCACCCCACCCAGACCCATCAGGGTCGCGGTGGACCCCGTGCTCTGCTAGAACACCTCTGGGAATCCACCGCCTGGGACATAGGATTAATTCTCTTTCTAACTCCTCCGTCTCTCTTCACTCTTATCTCCCGTGGATGGGTTAGCGTAATTGCTACAGCCCGTGTCACCAGAGTCTGGAACTCCGTTCGTTCCTCCCGGAACTCCGTTCCTGACTCTCTTGTTCCAGTCGAAAAACTTTCGTGACGTCAGGTTGCCCACGGCCCCAGCCCTATTTGGGTCTCACAGATTGCACTTCACTGGTGATGACTGGGTAGTGCCCTCTGTATTTCTTCTCAGCAGTCGGTCATTTTGGGGACACCCACTTGATCCTCCATTTGCCCCGAGCTTTCAGGAAGCTTTTTCCATCCCGGGTTTTCTCTCTGTCCCTCTCTCTTACCCTTTCTCTGACTCCCATCTTGCCCTTCCAGAATGGGAACTTCCTTGTTCCTCCTGGCCAATTCTCCCTTGCAGTGCCTCTTAGATAATTTGAAAACCCTGAGCCTGGCCCCTGATATTAAGCCAAAAAGGCTCATAAAATTCTGTATCCAGGACTGGCCTACATACCCCTTAGACAAACAAAACGTTTGGCCCAAGTGTGGGTCTCTGGATCCCAATTTACTCCAGGATCTTTTAATTACTGTGAGCGATAAAAGAAGTGGAACAGGATTCCTTATGTGGAGGCTTTTTCCTTGCTTCGATCTCATCCAAATCTCTGCACCTGATGCAAGCCTCAACAGCTACTCCTTGCTCTCAAACCTCCTTCCTCCACTTCTCCACTTTCTGCCTCCACACCTTCTCCTCCTTCCTCTGCTCTGCTCTCCACCTCCACTTTTGACCCAGCTGATGAACTGCCTCCATTCTGCTCTCCCCTGCCCTCAGCCCCGCTTTCCCCACTTTCACCTCCTCCCACTTCCCTGTCTTCTACATCTGTGGCTTCTTCTTCGGACACTTCTCCTCCTCTTCCTCCCGATACTTCTACACAAGCTCCTCCCACTTCCGTTCCTTCCATCCCAGTCCCTCCACCTCAGTTTAGTCCACTTGCCACCCGTTCAGCCACCCGTTCACGCACTAATACAGCACCTAACCCACAAGTCACCATATCTCATCACCTGACTCAAACTTCACATGTTGTGGCCCCCCTTCGGGAGGTTGCCGAGCCAGATGTGATTTTAAGGATTTATGTTCCCTTTTCTATGCTTGACCTTTCTCAAGTAGAAAAAATTGGGATCTTACACTGCAAACTTTGTCTCTTATATTAAAGAGTTTCAATACTTAACTCAAGCCTATATCCTCACCTTTCGTGATCTTTATGATTCTGTCCAATACTCTCCACCCTGAGGAAAGGAGAAGGGTTTAGGACCAGGCTAGGGCCTATGCAGACCAGGTTCATCAGACTAATGCCCACCAACCCTCAGGGGCCCAGGCAGTTCCAGACTAAGACCCCCATTGGGATTATAATGACCCCCAAGACCTGGGCCGTAGGGATCACCTTATTACCTGTCTGATATCTGGCCTAAAGGCTGCAGCACAAAAGGCTATTAACTTTGATAAACTCCAGAAAGTTATCTACAAGAAAAATGAAAACCTCTCAGCCTTCCTAGACCAACCAACAAAGGTTCTTCTACAGTACACTAATTTGTACCCTGAGTCCCCAGATGGGAGGCAACTTCTTATGATCTATTTTTTCTCAAAGCTACCCCGACATCCAGACAAAGCTAAAAAAATTAGAGGGGACCCTTGACTCCTCAGACTGAGGTGTTGGCCGTGGCCTTCAAGGTCTACCACAACAGAGATGAAAGAGCTAAACGCCAAAAATGCCAGATGTTGGTCCAGTTGTTAAAGGGCTCCTTCCAACCTATGGAAAGGGGGAGACAACAACCCCCCCAATGAGAACCCCCTGGGCCCTGCTTTAAGTGTGGTGATGAAGGACATTGGGCGAGAGCTTGCCCTAACCCCAGGGCACCACCCAGACCTTGCCCCAGATGCAGACGTCCTGGCCACTGGGGATAAGACTGCCCCAATTCCCGGAGGGGAGCTGAGGTCCGTCACCCTGCCAGTGACTTGCTGGGCCTAGCAGCCAAGGATTGATGGGGCCCTGGGTATTCTGTCACGACCTATTCAATCACCAAGCAGGAACCCAGGGTGGTTATCTTGAGTGGATGAATGTCCCATAAACTTTTTGGTAGACACTGGGGCCACATTCTCAGTTCTGAGAAAGTATAGGGGAACTAACTATCCCTCTGAATCTCCTATTATCGGGTAGGAGGTCAAACCATCATCCTTCCCTCAATCTTACCCTTATTGTCCTCCCCTACTTATATCTTTGTCATGGCTTTACTCCCCAACAAAGAAGAGACTTTACCCCCTTGTGTCTGGAGTGGAGACTCCAACGACCACTAGAACACACATTTTCCCCTCCCCTGTAAAATGGTAGAACCAATTGTATGGGACACTGAAACCCCGTCCTCTGCAAATTGCTCTCCCATGGAAGTGCATCTTAAAGACCCTAACCACTTCCCAAACCAGGCTCAATACCCACTGCCAACTGCCAGTCTTAAGGGCCTAAAGCCAATCATTCAGAGTTTACTAAGAAAGGGGTTCCTCTATCCCAAACACTCTCCATTCAATACCCCAATTTTAGCAGTAAAAAAAGCCTAATGGAACACACCATTTGGTGAGGATTTAAAGTTAATAAATTCTTCAACCAGGCCCATACATCCCCTGGTTCCAAACCCTTATACTATCCTTTCCTCCATTCCTGCTAACTCCACCTATTTTTCAGTTATTGATCTTAAAGATGCCTTCTTTTCGATTCCACTAACTGCCTTTTCCCAAGACATATTTGCCTTCACCTGGACTGACCCAGAAACTAGACATTGCCGACAGTTAACCTGGACTGTCCTGCCCCAGGACAAGTCCTCACTGGAGATCTTGAGGATTTTTTTCCCTCTATGCCCTGACTCAACTCTTTTACAATATGTTGATGATCTCCTCCTCTGTAGTCCCTCATTAGAAACCTCAAAGTCGGACACAGCTAATCTTCTGAATTTTCTTGCTCACCGAGGATATAGGGTTTCTCCGCAAAAGGTGCAGCTCTCTCTCTGAGGTTGTTTACTTAGGGTTCCACATTTACCAAGGAAAGAAAGCTATCACAACCAATAGAAAAGGCCTTATTGAAAGCCTTCCAGTACCAAAAACTAAAGAGGAGATTCTCTCGTTCCTGGGTCTGGCAGGCTATTTTAGGGCATGGGTACCAAATTTCTCATTACTTGCCAAACCATTATATGATCTAGCAAAGGGGAACAAGCATGCGCTCTTGTTACTTTCAGCAAAACCACATTTCAGAACCCTCCAGAAGTTCCTCTTACAAGCACCGGCTCTACACCTGCCAGAGGTTAATAGTCCTTTTACTCTCTATGTTCATGAAAACAAAGGGCAAGGCTTGGGGGTACTGGGACAAAGGTATGAGCCCACCTTTGCTCCGGTGGCATACCTTTCAAAACAGTTAGATCCAACTGCCCAGGGATGGGATCCTTGTCTCCGCACCCTAGCGGCCTCCTATGTTTTATTAAAAGAATCACAAAAGCTTACCTTTGGAGCCTAAATCACTGTCACCTCCCCTTGTCACCTCAAGGACTTGCTAACATACAAAGGACTACAAACCCTCCCTCTCTGTCGAATTCTGTCTCTCTTGGTCTCTTTCCTCTACAATTCCTCCGTGTCCTTCCAAACCTGCACCCTTCTCAACCCGGCAACTCTGTTACCCATTCAGGCCCAAGGTCAAACACAGTCCCCAATACATAAATGCAGGGAAATTCTAGAAAACTTCCTCCCATGCCCAATTAATATCACCGAGGGACCTCTAGACCAACCTGATTACACCTGGTTCACTGATGGCAGCTCCTTTATGCATGAGGGGATCAGAAAAGCTGGATATGCCAGAGTGTCCCTATCACGAGTAATAGAAGCCAATCAAATGCCTGCAAATGCCATCAACCAACAGGCTGAGCTGGTAGCTGCAACGCAAGCCTGAGAATTGGCAGCAGGGAAAAATCTTATGCTTTATACTTATTCCAAATATATTTTCCACATTCTTTTATCTCATGCAGCAATTTGGAAAGAGAGAGGTCTCCTGAACTCAAAGAGCACCTCTATAACCAATTCCACATACATCACCCAGCTACTACAAGCCTCCCAGCTTCCTAAAAAACTTGGAGTTGTCCATTGCAGATCACACCAAAATGACTCCTCCCCTGTCACACAGGGGAATTCTAAATCATATCAGGCAGCCAGGTCAGCCGCCCTTTCAGACCTCACTGGATCTCTCATTGCCACGTGCTCTCCATCATTACCCAATAATGGAGACCCACCTAAACATGCCCTCTTTACTTACCTCCACTCCATTTTCCACACCAGTCCACAGACTCTCAAAGCCTTTCTCCACTCTTTCTTTAGTCTGACTCCCCAGGATAAAGAAGTGATACAGCAAATCACAGCCTCATGCCAGATATGCAAAAGAGTGAATTCCAATACATCTTTAAAACCTGGAACCTTCCCTTCTCACCAGGCTAGGGGCCATATTCCCAGGGCAGATTGGCAAATCGACTTTACCAACATGCCCATAGTAAAAAACTTCAAATACATACTAGTTTTAATAGACACATTCTCGGGTTGGGTAGAGGCCTTCCCCACCTCAAATAAGCGAGCTACCACAGTTGCTAACATCCTCCTAACCAAAGTATTCCCTCTGTTTGGGAAGCCTGCTTCAATCCAATCTGACAATGGGCCTGAGATTGTCTCTCAAGTAACCCAGAATGTGGCAAAGACACTGTCCATCCAATGGCACTTTCATTGTCCCTATCATCCCCAAGCCTCAGATAACGTTAAGCAAGCCAACCACACAATGAAAGACATCATAACGAAACTATCTTTAGAGACTCATTTAGATTGGGTTAAACTCCTTTCTCTTGCCCTACTACACATGAGGGCTTTACCAAAAAAGCCATCCCTTGCTTCTGCCTTTGAGATAATGTATTGTCATCCCCTTCTCTCCCCAGGAATCTCACCAGAGCCTTGGCCCCTCCCGACCAATATGCTCTTCACCTCCTCTTCCTTATATACTCTGAGCTATGGAAGCAACAAGATTGGTTGCTTTCAGATCCAGAGAACTCAGCTGCCACCTTTCTGCTCAAACCAGGAGAATGGGTCTACTTTTCTTATGCAGGGGAAAGATCTCCCCTAACCCCCAAATGGGAAGGGCCATTACAGGTAGTCCTGTGTACACCCAATGCTGCAAAACTCCAACAGGAAGGAAAGAAACCCCCTGGATTCATACTTCTAAGTTAAAAATGGTGGCAAGCCCTCCAGAGGACAATCCCACCACAGCTCCCAACCTTGCAGTACCCCCACAATCGCCCAGATTTACCTGTGAGATATCCCCAGATAACCCTCTCAAGCTCTGTTTTTCACAGTCACACACCACCCTTCATCCAATTCCAGAGGAGAACACACATAAGAATGGGCCTCCGGATAGGATCTAGGAACCCACAGCAACACAGTATACCCACACCCTTTTTAGAAATCAGCAATTGGCACAACAATCCTATTGGGACCTCTTCAAAAACCCCGTCAGCTGCTGGATTCTCTGGATACTGGGACCTCTAGTTGGTCTTTTTGTTTTGTGCCTTCCTTCCTTGCATTTTAAAATTCCTTCAAGGGGAAATTAACAAAATCTCTAACCAAACTTTCAATCAGCTCCTCCTCAGGGATTACCAGCTACTTGCCAATGAGCCAGGCGACATGCACATCCAGTCATCCCAAGAAACCTTCACCGAGTGCTGAAAGATGAAGATACCAAATGACAACTCCACCAAAGGGCCATCTCTACCCCACCATGCCAAAGAAATAAGCCCTTGGTTTTCAGCCTTATATATTCTAATCTGCCTTCTCCTGGGCATAGGCTTTTTCTACCAGCCCTACAGACTGGACAACATGACAGAAATTAATGCTGTTTCCTTTCATAGCCACAGGGCACATTTATGGCCTTCTCCCCGGAGGAAATTGATGCCTTCAGTGCATGGATATGGGGCCTCCTGGCCCTTGTTCTCCAACCAACTGACCGACCTCCCTCCCTCTAAACAATGCCCCTACTCAGCAGGAAGTAGCCAGATCAAGTACAAAGCCCCCAAACCAAAACAAAAAAGAGAGGAATGTTGGTAAAGATGGCGAATGGAGTGCTTCTCTTCCAGGAGCTCAGGAAAGTTGGCGCCCAGAGCACTTCTCTTCCAGGAGCTCAGGTCCATGATGCACTGAATGGCGAGCGAACCATCAACTCCAATCCCTGTGAATGGAGCACCTCCAATCCCTAAAGTGGCTCGAACTCTCAGCCAATAAAGAAGTAACAGCCCTTGTTCCTCCTCATCCTGTGTTAAGCACATAAATATCAATACCCTGTTTCGGGTTGGTTCCCTTACTCTTACTCTCTCTTATTCTTACTCTCTCCCCCCCTCCCCTCTCTTCCCCCTCTTCTCTCTCTCCCCCTCTTCTCTCTCTCTCCCCCCCTCCTCCCTTCTCTTCTGCAACTGGCCGCTAGAGTTCTGCTAAAAAAATCTCAGACAGGTAACAGTTCTTTTGTCTTATTGAGTTTATGGAGCTTTTCTATCGTCCTTTACAAAGACTGAAAATTAACAAACATGGTTTGTCACAAAATAAAGCCATGGGTGGAATCTGAGATTACAGATCCAATGGAAAGAAGCATCACAAGAGTATCTGGTAATTCACTCCTCAGTGAGTCACCAGACTCAATACTGGCAGTCACAGGAAGGCAGGGAACAGAACCTTTCACACAGTTGGTGTTCACACATATTTGATAGAGAAGCACCCTCTCTCTGGAGTAGAGACTAGGGAGGCTGAGACAGGAGGATCACAAGTTCAAGGGCAGCATGGACAACTTAGCAAGACCCTGTCTCAATATTTTTAAAAGGGGTTGGAAATGTAGCTCAGTGGTAAAGTACCACTGGGTTCGATCCCCCAAAAAAGAAGAAAAAAAAGAAAAGATCCTCTCCCAGGTATTGCTGAAGACAGCTGACTAGCAGTTTGCCTAGCTACTCCTGAGGGATTCAGACCTCAAGGACTTAAGAGGCCAAAACAGAGTAGGGTCATAGAAAATGTTAAAGGCCAGCCCCTCCACCGACAGCACTAGGAGTTGCACGCAGCAACCACTCTCCAGCTCCAGACACATAGGGTACAGGCCACGAAAGACCGCCGCTCTGTGAGAAGGCACATGACTCCCTGATGCCAGGGGCTGGGAAAGCTAACAGGTAAAGAGAACTCCATTTCCCGTAGGCCCTCACACGTGACTACATTTCCCACAATCCGGCGCTACTTCCGGTGCGGCCAAGGATCCGCGGACGTCTTCCGGGTTTGGGCCTGGCTGTGGTAGAGGTGGCAGCACCTAAGGCGGTAGAGGCGGAGGAGAGGTGGGACGCAGCTTGTGGGAACTGGGTTACCGGCATGGAAGTATCGGGGCAGGAGACCGATTGGCGGAGCGCTGCCTTCCGGCAGAAGCTGGTTAGTCAAATGTGAGTAGGGGCCGGGGCCGAGGCGGAGGACTGGATGGCTGGACATTCCTTTCCCGCGCGGTGGGCGAGGCCGAGGCCGAGGCCGAGGCTGGACCCATTTCTAGACCTCGGCCCGGGAACCTGCGGGGTCTCCAGGGCACCTAGAGACCAAAGGCACTCACGACTTTCCTGAGCCCAAGGGCGTGGTCCTCGGTGGTTAGCCCCTCTGTTGGCGGGTAAGGCTGTTTGTTAACTTTCCCGGGGACGCAAACCAGGGAGCCTTGGCTTATGAGTCATCATCTTGAGCTTTCTCCTTCCTCATTTGTGTGCTTTGGGTGCAGACTTTGATTCCAGAGGAGGGGGTGAAAAACTGGAATTGGTTTCTCCTCCCTACGGAACTCCAGTCCCTCACCACTGAGTACTTGTTTAATTTAGCAGTTTTTAACTGAGCTTACTGCAGAGTTGTGCTCACCGCAGAATTGCCAGAAACACAACCATTGCCCTGGGCGATGGAACTGTCAGTAGAGAAACAGTTCCTTGCAGTTTGCTCCCTTAGGCTGTGGGTGCTGCAGGGGCTTCTTGCAAAGTCGCAGTTAGCTGACCAGGAGCACCCTTGTGGAGTAGGTGATGAACAAACTGAGTCCTAGCAAGACATGTAGGAGTGTGAAATACTAACATTCCAAGTAGAAGATTGGGGATATGAGAGAAATTAATTGCATAAAGAACCTTGTTGGGGCTGAGAGTTCCAGGTTGAGGAGTAAGGACATCCTGGAGATAATGGATGAGGTAATCCAGTACTGTCATGTTGTTGATGGGAGTGTTGTGCTAAGGAGTTTAGCCTGTATTTGATAAATGGCCTACTTTGAGGTGGTGAAATGCAGATCGTGTTGGGAAGATCCCCTGAGTCCTTGGAAATGAATCAAATACAGAAGATAGGCATTTAGGCTGATTGGGGAGTTTTATTAAGCTCTTGGGGGACACACACCTGTCCTTCATCCTGTTTTCCCCTCTGCTAGATTACTGCCTATCATATTTATCTGTAAAATGTGGGATGACTTAATTAGACAGGAGATTATAAAGGCCTGCTTAGGGTAGAAACTGAAAGAAAAAGACAGGATTCCAGAGAAAGGGAAGCTTGTGGACAATACTGGATGACTAACTGGGGGTGGGATGAAGCAGTGTGGAAGAAAGGAAGCTGGCAGAATTCTGGGAATCCTTAGTACTGTGGAAGAAGTGGGGACTGTAGTGTTAGTGGCTTCTTGGTATCACCACAGTATAGCCTCTGGAGAGGTCTGCAGACTTTGCAGAATCATTGAACAGCATTTTATTGAAGCATTGATTTATTTCTAGGTGAAATCTCAAAGGATAACCCTCATCACCACTCAGGAGGGAGGGCTGGAGAAGTGTCAGGGCTGGGGGAACATTAAAAGTTTCCTTTGGGTGTTGAGATCAACCTGTGCCATGCTGGCCTCAGCTGTGCCCACCAGGTCCTCACTAGCCCTCTTGCCTGTGTTATGCCTTTGCTGTGCTTGCTTGTAAATCTGATCCTGCGTTCCATGTGGGCTGGTTCTCATGTTACTGTTTTATATCACTCCTCTCACTTTTCTTGTGAACCTATGGACCTTTCCACTCATGCTTCTGCTCCACCCCTGGATGCCTTGCAAGCAGGAACCTGTTGCTGCCTTACTTGGCAGCAACAGGTTTCTGCTGCGGGCTTTCGGAAGCAGGAGAGGTAGAGACTTCAACCATGCTTGTTGAATGAAGGATCTAATAATGCAACGGGTCAACATTCTTTTATTTTTATTTACATCAAAACAGGTTTGTACATCTCTTAGCATGAATCCTCCTTTCTGTGATTTTTTTTTAAATATAACTTTATTTATTTATTTATTTTTTAATGTGGTGCTGAGGATCGAACCCAGTGCCCCACACATGATAGGCAAGCACAATACCACTGAGCCACAACCCCAGCCCCTTTTCTTTCTGTGATTTTTTTTAATATTTATTTTTTAGTTGTAGTTGAACACAATACCTTTAGTTAGTTAGTTAGTTAGTTTGTTTGTTTGTTTATTTATTTATTTATATGTGGTACTGAGGATCCAACCCAGGGCCTCCATGCACTACGCCAGTGCTCTACGGCTGAGCCACAACCTTAGTCCATCTTTCTGTGATTTCTTTAGAGATCACAAGGGTGATGCTGCAGCCCCATATGCACATTCTTTAGTACCCTGTTTGTGTTTGGAGTGGTAAGGATGTTTTGAAGCACCAGCTGGACTGGCTGGTTTATTTATTCCATTTCAAATGAGGCCACAGAGCCCTGACAAGTCTTGTTTGTTTGTTTATTAGCAAGTCCAGTGCTGGGAAAACAGGCAGGAAGATCTACACTACAGGGAAGAAGGCAGACTGTGAACAGAACAGAGCATCGTGTCTCTTGGGAGATAGATGCCCAGCTCAAGCCTGCTATCGTGTTTCTTCCTTTCTAGCAATGCATACCTGTTCTTTCTCTGTGTGTTTGTGTTATGCATGTGTGCATACATGTGTGTGCAGGCATGGAGGAGGGTAGTGTATGCTGTCATTCAAGGGAAAACTGAGTTTAGCTCATGTGCATAATTCTTTATAACCAGGAGCAGCAGTGTGGTATAAAACTTTTAGTAATATTTTCTCTTGTTGTACCTCTGTTAGTAAATGTGTTTTGAAGATGTTTTTCACATTCATGTGATCTGTCTCCTTCTGTCCCCAGCTATAAGCTGTTGAATTTGGGGCGGGTCTCTTTGGTCATGTTAGGAGAACATGAATTGTTCCACATAGGGACCCTTTCCTTGGGAGGAACTGAGAGATGACTTCTGTGGGCCCCTTCACTCTACAGAGGAACATTCTGAAACTGAGGTTCCATTGTGCTCAGTGGCAGGTTTGGGTAGGCACCCAGGTCTCTCAGAGGGCAGGAAGTAGAGACTGGCTGGCCACCCAATGGTCTAATGCATGCTTGATTTTGTGTTGGTGGTGAGCAGTCTCTAAGGAACAAGTCCCCTTTCCCGTCATGCCAGTGGCTTGCTTTTGCTTCATAGTGACCACCTTTCCTATTCCTTCTTTCTCATGGCCCTGTCCTCTTACTCTCTTGTTAAGCTTTCTGTCATTGCTCTGTTGAGCATCCCTCCCTACATGTCTTGATGGGACCTCAGTGAGGCTGCATTCTGGGAACAGCACCTGATCCTCCCAGGGGCAGCTACCATGAAGGGCCTGATGGCTAAGACTTGCTATTGTGTGTAAATATCTCTTCTTTTGTGTTTCAGTGAGGATGCCAAGAGGAAAGCTGGTGTGGACCACAGTGTATCTAGCAAGGAAATGGAGAACCATGTATTCCTGAAGGCCAAGACCCGAGTAAGGCCTCCTTGGGTGGAGCCCCTTGATTGAGAGTGGGATGTTGCAGATTCTGAGAACTCTCTGCTAGGGTCCTAGGGAGTGGGTTGTTTGGTTGCTCACTGATGAATCACAGACATGGTTGGCGTTGTGTGCAGCATTCTCCTATCTATGTCAATGGAATGAGGAGGATAATGGGTGGGTAGCCCTTGTCTTCACTGCTGGTATCTTCGATCTGTGGCCAGCTCCTATGAATCCTACAGGGAACTCCCTCAAAACCTATTGTTCCCATGGAATGGGGAATGCTAGGAGTAAGCACTGATTCTCTCCTGAGCCGCAGCTCAACAGGGATCCTCCCTGAGCCCTATAGGCTCTAATGCATGGATATACAAGTGTACCTATTCCCTTTTGTGAAGTGAGGCAGGTAATAATGGTTAAGATCTGAGCCCTGGGACAGCATAGGTGGAGTGGGTAGAAGGATTTCTACAATGTGACCTCTTGTCTTGGGTTTCATATGATTTTCTTGCTTCTTCCCTGGGCTCTCCCCAGGGCAGAGCCCTTCTAGTAGAAATGAAGCAAAATGGAAGAAATGATATGAAATTAAACAGTGATATGTGTTTGAGTACATAGTTGTTTAAGGAAGAGCCCCAAGAGCATGCATATTGAAGTGGGGCAAGGTGGCTTCTATTGTGAACATGTGTAATAAGTATTTTGTTTTTCTTTTAAGAGCATTATTCAGATTGAATTCATATACTCCACAGTTCACCTGTTTAAGGTGAACAGTTCAATTGCCTAGGATATTCAGAATTATGTGAACTATCACTGTAATCTAATTTTAGAATATTTTTCCAAAAGAAACTTGGTGACCATTAGCAGTCACACCTCATTTCCCCCCCAGTCATTAGCAACCACTTTTCTACTTTCTGTTGCTATGGATTTTCCCATTCTGAACTTTTCATATAAATGTAGTCATACAGGACTGGCCTGTAGTTAATTGTTAAAGTGCTTGCCTAGCATACCTAAGGTCCTAGGTTTGATCCATAACACTAATTAAAAAAAAAAAAGCGATTTATGGAGAATTTTGTGTGTGTGTATGAGTGAACCATGTTATAGCAGGTACCTGATTTATTTTTATTTATTTATTTTTTAAATAAGAATTATCATATTCCATTTATTTATTTATTTTAAAGAGAGAGAGAATTTTCATATTTATTTTTCAGTGTTTGGCGGACACATCTTTGTTGTATGTGGTGCTGAGGATTAAACCCGGGCCGCACGCATGCCAGGCGAGCACACTACCGCTTCAGCCACATCCCCAGCCCTGATTTATTTTTATTGCTGAATAACATTCTGTCTGTGGATGGATAGATCGTATGTGTGTGTACACATACACATAGCTACCTCCACTTATCAGTCGATGGACTTGTTTTTTTTTACACTTTTGGCTATTATGAATAATGCTGCTGCAAATATTTTTGTAAAATATTTGTAGGGTGTGTATATGTGTGGTGCTGGAGGTAGAACTCAGGACCTTGAGCATACTAGGCAAGTGCTTCTCTACTGAGCTACATCCCTAGCACAGTGTAGAATTTTTTTGTGTAGACAAAGTTTTCCTTTCCTTTGGATACATACCTAAGGGTGGAGTTGCTAGTTCATGAAAACTCCATGTATAACTTTTTGAGGAACTATCAGTCTGTTTTCTAAAGCAGCTGTACCATTTGAACCCACCAGAAGCTTATTAGGTTCCATTTGTCCCCAACACTTATTATTGTCCTTTTTATTGTTGTGATTATTTTAGTCAGCTTTTTCACTGCTGTGACTAAAGGACCAACCAGCACAATTATAGAGGAGGAAGAATTTATTTGAGGGTTCACAGTTTCAAGTTTATTTGAGGCTGATTCCATTTCTTGGGGCCGAAGATGTGGCTGAACATCGTGGCAGAGTGTGTGACAGAGGAAAGCACCTCTGATCAGGAAGCAGAGAGACTGACTGTATTCTCCAGATACAAATATATACACCAAAGCCATACCCCAATTCCCACCTCCTCTAGCCACATCCTCAACTTCATTTACCTCTCAGTAAATTACTAATTGGGTGAAACTCTTAACCACCCAGTCATTTCTTCTCTGAACCTTCTTGCATTGTCTCACATGTGAGATTTTAGGGGACACCTCACTTCCAAACCATAACAATTATCATAATGAATGTGAAGTGGTATCCATTGTACTTTTGATTTACATTTGCCTGGTGAGTATAATATTCAGCATCTTTTTATATGCTGGTTGGCCATTTGTATATATTCTTTGGAGAGATGTCTATTTGTTTTCTTTGCCTATTGTGGGTGTGTGGAGGGTGTACTAGGAATTGAACCCAGGAGAGCTTAACCACTGAGCCAAGTTGCCAGTATTTTTTTTTTTTTTTTTTTTGCGACAGTGTCTTTTTAAGTTGCCCAGAGAGTTTGACCTTGAACCTGAAATCCTCTTGCCTCAGCAGCTTGTGTTGCTGGGATTATAGACATGACCCTTGTCCTTTTATGTATTTATTTATTTATTTAAACATAATACCTTTATTTTATTCATTTATTTTTATGTGGTGCTGAGGATTGAACCCAGGGCCTCGCATGTGCTAGGGTAGCACTCTACCGCTGAGCCACAACCCTAGCCCTTGTCCTGTTTATTAATTGGGTTGTGGTCTTTTCCTTTTAATAGTTTTTTTAATCTTTAATTTTTTATTTATATATTTGGGGGATGGGATATTTTACTGATTTTGTTAGTTTGTATTTTCTTATACTTAAAAGAACTTTGATGAGGCTTATTTAACTGACCATCTCAGCTTTAAAAATATAGTCATTGTTAAGCACTGTTTACTGTTTATCCATAACAAACAAACTCCAAAATTTAATAGTATAAAGCAGGTAGTTGTTTCTTCTGATTGTGTAAGTCAGGAGCAGGAGCAATTGGAATTGCCCAGCTGGACTGTTCAGGTTTCTCTCTGACATCTCATTCATGTGGTTGCTTAGTGAGGGTAGCTGGGATAGTCTGGAAGGTCCGTAAAGGGGGTTCACTCAGGTGACTGCATGTCACTTTTCCCAGTATGGCCTCCACTCTGGTATCTCTAGTAGCAGAGCTCAGACTTTATTATATAGCACTGTGGCTGGCTTTCAAAAAGAACAGTGGGAGCTGCCAGCCTTCAGAGGTGTGGATACAGGATTTTTTAGTTTTTTAATTTTATTGTGTGTGTGTGTGTAGGGGATTTCACCCAGGGGCATTCTACCATTGAGTTATATCCCCAGCCCTTCCAGGCCTTTTACTTTTTATTTTGAAACAGGCTTACTAAGTTGCCAGGGTTGGCCTCAGACTTCAGTTCTTCTGCCTCAGCCTCTCTAATTTCTGAGATTATAGGTGTGCATCTGCATACAGGAAGTGTTAAGTCCAGTGAAGATTCCGGGTTGGGAAAATCACCTTTGCCTTTTGGTGTGACCAGTGGCCAGTGATTATTGCCTAGCTATAATGGAAACTACCTCAGAGACCTTCCTAGTAGCTGAGGAGTAAGCCTTTCATCCCAAAGGACATGCCTAGAAACACAACAGCCTCTCACCATCCCTGTTCACTCTGCCTTAGTCTTTTATTTACTGCATATCGAATTACTTATGCTGCCCCTTAATGATTCCAGTCCATTTGCTTTGTTTGAGTTGGCTCTAAATCCCTAATTTATAAAGGAGGCCCTGGCTAATTGAAAGAGAAATGTTTATGAGAACAGTGTAGGAAAATTCCTGTGTCATTTTCACAGAGACAGACATACTTGGGCACTGCCGTCTGTATTTGTCTTCAGGTCAAAATTGCAACTCAGGCACACTTTAACCTCCCCTGCTGCCTGAGACCCTGTAGAACAGCTGTGAAAAAAAAATTAAAAAGTAGGACTCTGGAGCAGGGGAAAAGTTAGGGAATAATGATATCTCTGTGGACCCAAGAGGAGCTCTGAGGTAGTGAGTCACGGAGAAGGAGGATGACCTTCCCTTGGAATTCTGATATGCTTGCAGGTTCAAAGATGCCTCTGTAAGGGTACTCGAGAACTAATGAGCACTTCAGGCTGTTTAGTGTATGCTCCAGGGCAGAGAAAACCTTGAGTGTTTTTCTCCAGAAGAATTCACCAAATTTCCAGAGTCGACACATGCTTCCAGTGTTCATTCCCCGAGTTAAAGCCCTACCCATCTTGGCATTGGCTCACTCTAGGTTTCATAGCTAGATCTCCTCTTCAGATTACAATGTGATGTCCCCGTGCAAGGCCATCTTCTGAGTTCTTCATGTATGTGAATCTCTTGAGCCCCACTTAGACCTATAAAGTGGGTACAGTATTATTTTTCCCAGTCAACATACAAGGAAATTCAGTCACACACATGCTAATTGCCCTGCTCAAAATATCATGTGACTGGTTAGAGGAGAGCTGGGTTGTAATCCTAGGGGTCTGGTGTCAGAGTGGAAGCTTTTAGCCATGTTTCTCATTGACTCCCA